AATGTTTCAGCTTTTCTCCACCCTTCCCCCAAGCTCCCACCCTGCCCCTATACCCCCTGCACCCCTTCCCCCACACCTAGCTCTGGCCCACCTGTACGGCACCAGAAGCCCCGGCTCCATGCCACCTCCTCTGCCCCGAGCCTCAGTACTGCTCCTGGGAGGGAACGGGAGGAGCTGCTCCACAGCAGGCAGGAGGGGCTGGTTGCTAGTGGGGGGCGCAGTCCTGGCGCACCTGTGGAGTTGGTCCCAGGTGGCTGAGCCCCCAGAACTAGCTCATCCCTCATGTAAGAGGGTAGGCGGGGCCACAGATCCGCACACATCAAAGGGTTGTCGTGGCAGGACACGGGACAAGATTGCGCCAGTTACAGCTTCACTGTTTTTAAGTGTCAGGAAGGCCTCCTGGGGTGTATCCCCAGTTCTGCCACTGATTTGGTGGGTTATCTTGGGCAAGTCACTTAGCCCACTGTCACCATGTGTAAAATGGCAAATACAACAGTTTATTTCTATCGGTCCTTCTTCAATGAGCACAGAGTTCAGCCATCCAGCCTCAGCCTGCCTGAGACCCTGGCTAGCCTGGCCCCCCAAGACACAGAGCCAGTTCTGCTCTACCAAGCAAGGGGATGGGCTTCCCTGCCTGCTGCCTTACTCCCTCGCAGAGGGTGCAACTTCCAGGACATGCTCGCTTGCTGCTTGCTCATGGGACCTGCAGGTGTGCACTGAAAGTCCCTAGTGTACGTTGGTCCAGCCTGCGAAAGGGGTTGGGTCAAATGCACGAGGCACCCAGTGCCCCCTTTCCAGTCAGTGTGCACCAGGGTCACACACGCATGAAGTGCTCAGCACCTGCACTAGCCCATCAATGTGCACCAGGGTCACACGCACATGAGGTGTCCAGCACCCCCCTGGCCAGTCAGTGTGCGGCAGGGTCGCACCAGGGTCACACGCATGAGCTGCCCAGCCCCCCCCTGGCCAGTCAGTGTGCACCAGGGTCACACACGCATGAAGTGCTCAGCACCTGCACTAGCCCATCAATGTGCACCAGGGTCACACACGCATGAAGTGCTCAGCACCTGCACTAGCCCATCAATGTGCACCAGGGTCACACACGCATGAAGTGCTCAGCACCTGCACTAGCCCATCAATGTGCACCAGGGTCACACACGCATGAAGTGCTCAGCACCTGCACTAGCCCATCAATGTGCACCAGGGTCACACACGCATGAAGTGCTCAGCACCTGCACTAGCCCATCAATGTGCACCAGGGTCACACACGCATGAAGTGCTCAGCACCTGCACTAGCCCATCAATGTGCACCAGGGTCACACACGCATGAAGTGCTCAGCACCTGCACTAGCCCATCAATGTGCACCAGGGTCACACACGCATGAAGTGCTCAGCACCTGCACTAGCCCATCAATGTGCACCAGGGTCACACACGCATGAAGTGCTCAGCACCTGCACTAGCCCATCAATGTGCACCAGGGTCACACGCATGAGCTGCCCAGCCCCCCCCTGGCCAGTCAGTGTGCCCCAGTGTCTCACACACACACGAGGGGCCCAGCGCCCGCACTACCCACCGGCGCAGAGTTGCTGTTACTAGGAGGGAAGCCCAGCCCCAGAGTGGGCAAAGCTGAACTGGCATTGAGACCAAGCACCAGGCGGCAGGATGGGTGGTTCACTCATCACTTTCCTGAGCTGTGCTGCCCACCCTGTGCCCCCGCCACAGCACCATGCAGCATCACGCCACACCTGGACACGGTTCCCTCTTACCGCACGGCAGGGGCTCTTCCCACACACAGGCAAGGCGGAGAGAGCTCTCCTGTGCAGCTCCTGCTGGGCCGGCCCTGCCCATTTTTATAGGAGCCGCGTGTGGTGTTTGTTACTCCCTCCGCCCCCGCGAGCCAAGGGCTGACGCTCCCCAGCATGGTGCAACTGCATTTGTTCTGGGTATTTCCAATATTAATTTGTAACGTGAGCTCGCTGTAGCCAGCTGGCTGTGGGCCTGCAGCTGGGATCTGCCTAGTGCCCTGAGCGACACAAAGGGTTTTCCTTCCTGCAGCTCTGCACAGAATCCTGCGCCAGGGACTCCACCGGGAAGGCAGCAGCCTCCGAGATCAGGCTGCGAACTGGGGGGAGGCTCCCTCCCCGGCGTCTAGAGACAACAGGGGGTCTGCTCCTGGTTCTGTCCAGGCAGACAAAACTCTCAGCCCACAAGTGCATCTTTACAGCATCTGTTCCCACCCTGCGCAGCGGCTTTCTCTGTAGCGTGGGGCTTGGTGGACCTGTCCACATGGCAGTTAGACCCCGTGGCTGTGGGCTGAGGAAGGGGATGGGCTTCAGGGTGGGGTGAGGACACCCACTGAGATTGTGGGCTCTGGGTTGGGCCAGCCTTGAGGCATTGGGGTGCGGGCTGGGGTTAAGGGGTTTGGAGCGTGGGAGGATGCTCAGGGCTGGGGTTAAGGGGTTTGGAGCGTGGGAGGAGGCTCAGGGCTGGGGCAGGGACTCAGGGCTTGGACAGGAGGTGGAGGGTTAGGTCTGGGGAGGGGGTTCAAGGAAGAGATTCAGGGTCAGGCTGGAAGCAGGAAGCTTGATGACATAGCACGGGCAGCGTCTGGGACGGCATCCTTTTGGGGGTCCCACCAACGGGGCGGTGTCTCGCTGTGTGGTGTCACCTTAGGGGCCTTAACACTGGGTTGCTGTGGCTATGAGCCCTGACACCCCTCGCCAGTCTCCAAGCAGAAAGGTCTCCTCTGGCGACCACAAGCTGGGTGCAGCTCCTCCATCCCCGAGCGGCGCCAAACCCCAGCTGCCCACATTTGTAACGACCAACCACTCCGGCTCATCACCCCACAGGAGGGAAACTTCCCCCTCTCAGCAGGCCACCTCAGGGGACACACACACAGACTTGCTTGGGGGCAAAACACACAGCTTATTGAATGGGGAAATCCTATGTCACAGAGGAACTAGTGAGAAGGCCAAATCCAGGCAAGTGGTACAGAAAACGAACAGAGCCCCAGGTTGTACAAATTCCCTCTTCTAGCCTCAGCATGGCTTGCCTCAGGGCAGCTTTCCAGCAGGCCCTGCCAGGCGGGGCTCCAGCCAATAGCCGCCTCTTCAAACCCGGCAGGGAGTCCTGATGGGGGAAATTCCCTGCTTAGGTTTCCAAGAAGGGGGACGGTTTCACTTTAACGGCCTTTTACTTATCTTTTCCTGGGCTGTACCATGTGCTTGGATCTTGTCTCTCTGGCTAGAGGCAGCCCCTCCTTGCCTGGCTGTGAATGCCACAGGACAAATTCCAAGCCCAGGTTCATGGACACATACGGTGTCCGTGTCATGGCATGCATGCAAGGCCACCAAGAGAAATGGGAGGCCAGGTGATGGGGTTTAGAACAGCCAAAATGCCCACAAGGGGGGAATGTGGCACATGCAAAGGGCCACAAATGGGGGCAGTTGGGGGAAATAGCTCTCCCTTTGAGAGGGGACATACATAACTCAGCTCCCATGCACACCCCGATAGAGGACTTCTAGAGCTACGTCTAGCCTGCAAGTCTCTTTCGAAAAAGAGCATCTAGACAACAGGAAGATTTCTCGAAAAAGCGGCTCACTACTCTAGACACTAAAAAGCCCGGCTTTCATGCACTAGCGCCTTTTTGCGAAAGATGCCTTTTGAAAAAAGACGGTATTCCTTGTAGAATGAGGGATCTACTGTCGGCAACGCGGCGCTAGTCTAGAGGCAGGTCGTTTTTTGGAAAAAACCCTGTAATCTAGACACACCCTTGGTCACCAGGGGCAGCAGCAAAGGCCGAGCAGATTAGGTTAAGCGGGTCCAGGTGGATGGTCACTCCAAGAAAGTTAGGGGATGCTGGGTCCCTTCCAAACAGCATAGTGCTCCCCTTTGGGCACAGGGGTCGGCTTCCCCGTTGTTCCCGCATCTGGAAGAGGAAGAGAAGGCCCACCAGAGCCATCTCACAACGAGGCCTTTTAGTTCTTCTGGGTCTGTGTGCATGTGGACTGGGCAGTAGTGTCCCTGGCCCCACGGCTGGCTTGCTGGCAGGAGTTCCTTGGCTATGTTTCATAATATTGACCAGTGGGAATGAGCTCATTAGAGTAAAAGGCACATGCCTGGGCAGTGGGTATCACAGGCCTGGGGAAGCTAAGCCTCCCCAAATGGGTCCTGCCCCCACCTGCCCTAAGGTCCCTCCTGCTTCCCATTAATCCCTGCTGGCTCAGCCCAGGCTGCTCCTCTTCCATCCCGTGCTCAGCCTCTCCTCCAAAGCAGGCAGGGGCTGGGGCCAGGCTCGGACAGCCAGCAGCACGGGACCTGGAGTTGCTGGGCCAGTGTTTGGCTGGGATTAGGTCAGCTGAAGCTGTGCTTACCCGGCTTGCTGGGCTGTGGACATCCAGGGTATGTCTACACTAGCACCCTAGTTCGAACTAGGGTGGTAACGTAAGCAACCAGAGTTGCAAATGAAGCCCAGGATTTGAATTTCCCGGGCTTCATTTGCATAAAGCTGCTTCGAACCCCGTGTAGCGCGGCTACACGGGGCTCGAACTAGGTAGTTCGGACTAGGATTCCTATTCCGAACTACCGGTACACCTCGTGGTTCGAACTAGTGGGGTAGTGTAGACATACCCCCAGTGAGGGGAGCTCACTGGGGCTGGTGCTGCCTGGTGTTTGTGTGGGAGGCAAAGGAGGAGCAAAGGGAGAGTTAAAATGGACGCTGTTCTCTTTTTCACCTGTTAAGATGCTATTTGGTTCCCTAAACTGTTCAGGTGTTGTCAGCTAACCCCCATCCCTTCCCCGAGTGAGTGCAGAAGAATGTCTGAGGTGGACACCAGAGGCGGGAAAACTCTGAGGTAAACAGCAGGAGTAAACAACAGAGCACCCGGCCCGAGAGGCCCAGAGACTCAGAAGCTGCATGTGGCTGACCCTGAAAGGAGAGAGGGACGCAGACACAGTGGGCTGACCAACAAGCGGAGCCTCCCAGATCGCCTGGCCAGCGGACCAGCTCAGGAGTCAACACGGGAAGATCAAACAACATGAACGGCCTTCTGCTCGCCTGATATCCTGCCTGGGACTGTCAGTGTGGTTGAGTGAGACCCCCGCCCTTCCCAGTTTGAACTGAACAAACCAACCCTTTGCACCCCTGTGTGGCGACCCCCTCTCAGTGTTCAAAGCAGGTGCAACCCACACCCCCTTGCAACACTTTGGACTTGTCAAGAATGGGGATCCTGGCACTGTGGCTGGAGCAACCCAGAGCCAGTGGCCAGGGCCAGCCTCTGGGCCATGACTTGGGCCAGCTGGGGCGGGGCTTCTCTGGCCATGGAGCAGGGGAGAAGGGCAAAGAGGAGGCAGGGAGGGACTAGGCTCCCAAAGGGGGCTTCTTGCACGGCCTCTGCGATGCCTCTGGGAGGACACTGCAGCAGTTGCCGCGCAGAGGAATGAAGGTTCCTGTGATAGCTGGGAGGCAACATGCAACCAATCCTGGGCTTCCAGAGTCTGGCAGAACTGAGTCTGCCTATGGAGCAACAAGTAGCAGAGAACTCTTCCTGGAGACTCAGATGAACTGGCAGGAGAAATTTGTAAAGGCCCCAACATTTGCGGATGCTCCAGGTGGCTACCCAGCCGCGGGCCACCTGTATCTTTCAGGATCCGCCTTGGTTCCTTCTGGGGACAGGCTGAATTCCAGAAAGCCAGAGGAAACGCAATTGAAGGGTCACACATGACTCACGCTGGCAACGCTCCAACATGAACTGTGTGTTGCTCAAGGCGTCTGACAATAAGCACCGGATGCTGTGCTGATCCCAGGAGCCTGGTGCCTCCTTCCTTACATGCTGCAATGTAGTGGGGCCGTTGTCAGGTGAATGCGGCCAGGCAGGTGCAGAGGGAGGTGCCTGACTCACCAAAACAGAAACAGGTACTGAAATGTCACCTTCACTTTCCCTTTCGGGGTGAGCTGCAGCAGGCGGAGTTGAACCCAGGATCTCTGTCTGGAGGCTCCGCATGGTAAATGAAACTTAACTCAGTGCTGGCTTGGCTGTTATCCCACTTGGAGCAAATCCAAGTTCCCTGTTTGCTTTCCCTTCTATTAGGCATCCCTGGAGTTCAGCCTGGCCCAGCCACAGTACTCGCCTAGGTTTCATTTTTGCAAGATGCTGATTTCTGGGAAATGCTTCATTTAATAGAATCATAGAATCATGAGGCTGGAAGAGACCTCTGGAGGTCATCAAGTCTAGTCCCTTGCCCAAGGCAGGACCAATCCCCAATAAATCAACATAGCCAGGGCTTTGTCAAGCAGAGACTTAAACACCTCTAGGGATAGAGATTCCACGCCCTCCCTAGGTAACCCATTCCAGTGCTTCACCACCCTCCCAATGAAATAGTTTTTCCTAATATCCAATGTATTAGGACCCCACCCCCCCACTGCAACTTGAGGTCCCTATTTTTCCCCATCCTCTTTGGAACTTCCCTTCAGGAAGTTGAAGGCTGCTATCAAATCCCCCCCTCACTCTTCTCTTCTGCAGTCTAAAAAAACCCAAATCCCTCAGCCTCTCCTCATAGGTCATGTGCTCCAGCCCCCTCATCATTTTGGTTGCCCTCCACTGGACTCTCCCAAATGCGTCCACATCTTTACTATAGTGGGGCACCCAAAACTGGATGCAATACTTGAGACGTGGCCTCACCAGTGCCAAATAGAGGGGAATAATCACTCCTGAAAGCATGCTTCCTCTGGTTTTTTAAAAACAAAAATCACTTGAGATATTCACCATTTTAGATGGTCATATCACCCAATGTTACTACAGTAAAACTCCAGTGGTCCGGCATCCAATGGTCTTAGCCAGTCGGTCCCC